TGTTAATGCAGGTCAGATATTATATTAATGCTAGCCAGATATTATGGTAATGCCGGCCGAATAATCTTATTTCGGGACCATATTAAAAATCCCGCGCGTGCCCATCTCTAGATATAGTATTAAAATTCAAAAAAAAACCAAGTATGTATGTAAACAGATACAAATATCCAAATTTCACCACTATAATTTAATTTCACCAGTATCTTTAGACCCAACCTTTGGAAAATTCAATCATCGATAAAATAAATAATAGCAATAGGATAGAATGTACTAATCAAATTTAATTATGTATATGAATTGGTCAAATTTTTAAGGCCTGAGTCATTAAGTTATAAACTCAAAAACTCGAACATGTACTGTTATTTGTTATCTATCGTTAAATTTGGTGTTATTACACGTCTACAAGGACGTGCAAGACACGATTCTGTTTTTTACAACAATTACAACCTATTACGGCACTTAAAACGATTATAGCAATTACAACAATTATAACCACTATGACATATTTACAACTTTGAGTATTAGTTGTAATTAGGATTGCAACCCAGGTCGTAATTCGCAATGTCCATAATTATTACTTACGGTCGGCAACCTTAAAGTGAACCTAGGAACACTATCAGGAATAGTACTGATGATTGATCAAGAATGATATTTTTGCTTAAAGAGATTATGAATTTTAAATTTCTGCCTGTGCATAATTGAAGTAGCACATTAAATCAAATATCGATATTTCTTAAGTTATTAATATCAATAATGTACGTATTTATGTACACACTTTATTGATGATACTAATTAAGGAAATACGTATAGTATTTTCAACATGTTACGTATTTGTTTGTAATTTATCTCTATAAGGGGATTGTGAATCTCGATTTAGATGTAAAAATGTGGTATAAGCCCAGAATGGAACAGAATAAAAGAATGTATGGCTATGTTTATTACTAATTATTATTCAAGATGTATCATTGAGGTAGGCGTTAGCCTGAGACACAACATTTCATTATAGATTGTTTAAACCGAGTGATGAAAAAAAAGAATTATATTTTAAAGTTTTGTGAGAAAATTCATAATGCCTTTTTTATATTTATTTCATGAGTATGCGCATGACTTTTATGAATTTGTAACTTATAAAAATGCTTGGCTGATAGAGTGCGTATGTTTATTTCAATATACTTTTATCGTTGTAACGGTTTTTTGCTACAGAAAAAAATAAAAAAGTTTTTTCTGAAAAAAGCCGGACTTTTAAAAAAGAATGGAGAAGGAGACGAATCAAAAAATTAAATTTAGTATTTTTAAGTTGAACGAGGAGTATAAAATGTTTATGAAGAACGTTAAGAATCGTAAGGCGTTGTTTTTCGCGCAGATTTTCGTATCGTTGATCGCTATTTTTCTTGGACAGTTGTTCACGTTGGTCGAATATTCAAATCTTATTGGAAAAATCGGGTCTTTGTCTTCGTCTCTGTTCGGGGGGGCTGGAGTTATAGTTACGATTTTTACTGCTTATTTTAATTACACTTCGGAGAAGTATCTTGAGGGGGCTAGTGAGACTAAGATTGAAGACAAAACTTTTAAGTTGATGCATTTACATATAGAGGAAGAGTTACTTGGGATTTTTTCTGCTACATATAAAGATGAAGATCAAAAAGATAAAAAAGGTCAAGAAGATAAAAAACTCCTGAGTTTTTATATTTCCAAGCTGAGATTGTTAAATAGTATTTTTTATAAAGAAAGGATGGTGGACATAATATTTGCTGTTTTATTTTTCTTGTTTATTTTATCGATTTCTATTTTTTTATCGTTGATATATCAAGATACTGGAGAGACTTATGTGGGTAAGAACGCTGAGAGGGCGTTGAGGCATGCTTTGATGTATTTGGGAGAAATATGGTTTGGATTGATCATTCTTTCCAAATCGTTGGATGTTTATGATAATTTGAAGATCCTTACTTTTAGGAGATCTAGCATTAAAGTTGCAAATATTTTTATTGAATTGTTCAAAATTTTTTTCTGGATTGTGAATATTTTTACCTTGATGGCGATTTATTATCTGATTATAGGAAGGATTAAAATGAATAAGTATCGGTATCGTTATCATTTGTTTCGTATGGTTCGTTTAAAATTGTATCCAGCTGAGATTCTTAACATAGAATTGATTTTGAATGGGATCAAACCTATAGTTTATGATAAAGATGATAAAAGACCAGAAAGAGAAATGTATGAATATATCAAATATGATGAGGATAAAGTGTTTAAACGGTTTTTGGAGGAAATTTCAGTAAATGAGAAGCATGCTTGAACGTATTAAATACAACGAAGGATTAATAGTTATTATTTCAATCAAGGATTTTTGAAGTTTAATGATGTAGATGAATACTTAAAAACTATTGACAAAAATGAAACAGCTTTGAACCAATTGCTTATTAATTTATGAGTTAATGTGTTATTTTATTTATTTTAACAATTATTATAAAACAAACCTATGGTGTTTTGCACTTATTATATATTTTTAATATTTTTTAAATTTTTTAAGTTTTTATAAGTTTTGTTATAGAAATTTTTGACTAAATTTTTTCATGCAAGGGTTAATTTTTAGGTTAGTATTAGGGTTTAGGAAGGGTTTTCAGGGGTATAGAACATTTCTACTTAGAACACCTTGTACTGATTAATTAAAACACCATAGGTGCGAATTTTATTTCAATAAAAGGAATATAATGTTTTTTAATTGATGGTATACTTGTTTAAATTATTATTTTGGATGTCTTAAATTCTATTTAATTTTAATCTTATTTTTTCAATATATGAAATTTTTTCAGTAGTTTCGGGTTTTAATTCTATATCTTGTTATTTACAGGTTCTTTCTTTGTATATGTCGTAGGTGGGAAGGAAATTTCCTAGTTAAATCGCTACTTCAGATGCGACATATATATGACAAAATCAACACAAAATGCGGGTTTTACATAGAAATCCAGAATCCACTTAAATTCTGTTTCTACTTTCAACATTCACAATTCTATCTCGTATATATTTTGAATTACAATTTGCGCACACAGCTTCCCCAGATAGGGCTAGCGTAAATCGGGTTTTATCGCAGGTGCATATACGATAATATATTTCGGTCGCATATTTTTACCTGATTCGCATAATCCGCTGCATAATTCTATAAACTTTATCATATAATTCGCATAAATTGAAATGTAAGGCATGCAGAATCTGAGGTCTGTCGCAGCAGAAAATGGGTCCTCTACCCCAGAGAATTTCTCGCACGTATTTAATGTATTAACCCTTATTGTTAGGGTCAAGTTAGGGAAGGGAAGGATTTAGTATACACTAAAATTTCACAATAAAAAAAATTTTTATTAAAACACATACGAAATTTTGATTCATCACGATTTTTTTAAAAAAACGTGAATTTCACGTTACATCTTTAATCTAACTTTATGTTTATTCTTTGTTTATAAAGATCGGTTTGATTTTTATTATCCATAGACAATCACTAGTGAAAATTCACCATGGTAAATTGTAAATAAATTCAATTCATGAATATTTTACTAATTCATTTATTCATGTTAATTTAGTTTGTAATATTAAAAACGCTTATTAATCCGAGTATTTCTATATCCGGATTTATTACTATATGATATATCCGAATTTTTTATAGTAAAACCGAATTGAAGTATTATCTCTAGTATGTTGTGCCTCAGATTAACACTTTCGTCAGATGTCAACTACATAATGATCATTTAACCAAAATTAAGAATCAGCCTAAACTATATCCTAATCCTGACCCTAACTCTAACCTTAACTCAGGTCAAGCGACATCAGACGCAAGTGTTAATCTGAGGCACAAGTATAAAGAACTACTTTTGATAGTCGAAGAAGTGCTTGAGATAGACTGTTGAATTTCATAAGTATTTATGGTTTATTTTATTTGCATTTAAGTGTATGGTATAAAGAACATTTATTTAATTCAAGCATTTAAAATAAACTATTAAACTCATTATTTATTAATTCCATTTTTATTTGCGTGTTAAGTTAATGCTTGTATAAATAAGGAGATTCTTATAATGGGAAATTATTTATTCGGTGGAACAGACTTTTACTTATTGTAGTCTGGAAATTGTATCTGGTTATAATGTGGTAAATTGTTATGCTACCAGTTCCTGGTTTTACGCAACTACGTTGCGCAGCTATCTTATATGTAAATATTAACACTAAAAATAATATTTTCAAAATCTCGATCCATCTTACCTAAATTTATCAAATTTAAAGATGCAAGTAGTTTTCGAAAAATACTTCACTGTTTCCTTGTCTGCGAGATTCCATTATTCAAGTTAAATGAAGAAAGCAAGCTGGTCGTGATGGGTACGCAAATACCGACTTTCGCGTAATAACGCCCATGAGTGTAATTTGACCGGGGTAAAATAACTACCCAAAAAAGTTTCGAAAATCATGTGATATTGTCAAATTCATCATGATTAGATCATAATAATAATATTTATTAAAAATATTAACATAATTGATTTAGTAAGTGTTTTTTTTTTCTTCGATTCTTTAAAGTGAAAAGCAATTGTCAAAAGCATAAAATCCAATAAACACACTATTCTAAAAATATATGCTGATTGCAATTGAAGCAGAAGATTTTGTAGATTTAATTTTTAATGCGCTTCCGGAAGATTATAACTCTGATTATTTATTTGAATCCAGGACGCAGCAACAAAAAATTGTTGAAGAAAACAAATAGTAACAAATGGCTCGATAGTATTAATAAAAATTTTGTGCCATTGCATAAATTATAAATAAACTATTAATCATAATACTTTCTGGTTGTAAATTATTAATTTATTGCTTATCGTTATTATTTTGTTAGTCTGAATTTTTGTTTGTAAGTTGCATAAATTTTTAGTGCTCGATAGATTTGTCACGTGGTGTTTGAAACTTTTTTATAGGACTAGCGATGCCAGTCTAAAAAATTTCACTAAGAAAAAACCATTTTGCTCTTAGGGTATTGCTAGTGGGTTGGGTTTAGAGGACTATGTTTACACCAAAATTTTGCGAGGAAACCTTTTTATTAGTATACAGAAGGTAATTGTATAGGTAAACTTGTGATATGGGCGATTTTTGACTTATTTATGTTTCTTGAACTTTTTTCATGTTACACATGATCACGAAATCTGATCGGCTAACGAAATTTTTTAGACTGGTATTTTAAGGAGGGACGTCTAAAGCGAAGATAACTAATATGATTAACTTTAGAATACTATACAGTAGTACTGTATAATAGGTATTCATAAAAATAGACGCAAAAAGGTTTGAATTGACAAATAATTTATGAATTTGTTATCACATAATCAGCAAAAAAAAAAAAAAGAGTCTTAATTCGTTGGTCTCTACAACTTAGATTGTAATATAGTTTCGAAATATTCAATGTTGTATTATCGTTTTGTTACCGTAATTGTGGTGGAAAACCTAAGACTTACAAGAGTGTCGAATTTTCAAATCGTATAAAATTTTACGCCATATGTGTTACGAGATCCTGAGTTATAAGAAATAATCTTGATTCAAAAATTTAAAGCGTATAAGATGAATCAAAAGAACTAAAAACTTACTACAATATCAATTTATTATTATTAGACGTTTTGTTATAAATAGAAGCGTCTTCCAGCCATATTGGATTTGAGATTACTTGCGTAAAAAGCACGCACAACATTATGAATAGAGACAGGATAATAAGTGAAGCTTTCATATTAAATGATTTTCTTGCGTTTCTAATTCAATTTTGATTTTACAAGCTATGTTCTCGTTCAGATTGTCGGTTTAAGGGCTACCTATACGTCTTTATATATCAAAACTCATTATTTAATTGATCATATAAACTAATTTACTTTATTAATATGACTATGAAGAACTTTTTATATTTTTAATTATATAGTGCGTAAACAAAGCCCACATTTATTGAATAATGGTATTGCAATTTATCAATATCAAGGGACCACCGGAAACTTAGATGATTTCCTAATTTCTATAAATAATCACGATCCAGATTCGGGTGATGTAATATGATTTTTTTCCGAAAGTGCTTTTTCCTAACCGAAACTTAGAAACTACAAGAGATGTTAAGTAGTTTAACACCTGGTTAAAAACGTGATCTATTCAATAGAACTAGCTAGTTTAACTAGCTAGTCAGTACATTAAAAACCACGGTTAATATAAATTCTGACCACTGGAACATCCCTAGTCGGAAGTCATGCAATTTACAATAAATTTTGTGCCATGGCGGGGGATTTAATACCCAAAAATTTTTTAAGGGACGGTTTGACGCATGAATTTGCATAATCACTGTATCCTTCAAATTATTTAAGGTATTAATCGAGTAATTGTTCTGTATATTTAACCAATTAATTATAGGAAATTATGGGTTTAGATTGAAATTTAGTATCTTTAGCCAAGGCCCAATTCCGTCGATTCGTCTATACCGGGTGTTTGATAAGCCCCTAGATAAGACCTTGTTTTAATCACTAAATAAATCACTATTATATAAAAAAAAATAAATACAATAATTAGTAATCGTTATACCGGATGTTTCAATGTCACTCAACAGTCCCTGGTTTTCATGATTATCTATTACTATCCCACTAATATATTAAAATCGTTCAGATCACATGGTGTAGCGTTTAGATTACTAATATAAATCATTCTTCAATTATGTAGCGAATATCGGGGTATCCTTATGTTAAGAGAATTCAGAGCTGCCGGCCAAAAAAATGTGAGTCGTAGTTTCATAGGCAGAATTTTGTCTGATTGGTTAATAAATTCAATTTAATTTTACATTACTTAAAGTAACCGAAGGTATAATGGCGCGGTTAAGAACAGTTATTAATATAAGTTTTCAAAAAAAAGATAGTTATTTATAGATTTAAAATTTTAAGCTTGGGTCGGGTTTAGCCCAGCCAGACCCATGAACTTACGGGTTGGCCCGGCCCAATTCCGAACCCTATAAATAATTGGGCTAGGTTTGGCCGGACTTAAAGTACTGAGCTGGGTTTAGGTCGGGCCTATAAACTACTGGGCCGGCTTTAAAATACTGGGTCAGGTTTGGGCCAGGCCCGGGCTTTGTAAATAGGCCCGACAATACCCGATAGTACCCGTCAAAACATCTACAAAATACGGCATTGTGTACATTATGTATGTGCCAAAATACCCTTTGTTAATATAAAGAAAGCAGGTTCACATAAAAAAATATGCGAAGTCCAAGTACATATGTGTGGTATTGCATGTAATTTACACTTTCTATATAGA